CGCAGGTCTTCCTGCAGATTCACTGCAGATGTGTGCTAATCCATATCACCCCACCCATATATGTCCACCCCAAGAGCTCAAGCCATACTATCTTCAGAGGTAGATTTTTGAGATGTAATTAGCTAAGATGAGTTCATATTGAAGAAGGCTTCTCTATGAGGGGACACACAGTCCCAAGATTAGGATGACAGAGCATCTCTAGGCCAGGGAACATCAAGGACTGTTAACAACACCAGAACTAGACAAGGTCAGGACAGAATCTTCCTAAAGCTTCACAGGAGGCAGTTCTGCCCACACCTCGATGTTGGACTTCTGACTCCAGAAAAGTAGAAGTGTGAGAACAAACTTTGAGGTTTTGAGCTCCCAGTCTGTGGGGCTTTGTTCTGCTTAACCACCTGTGAATGCTCGTATAAGCCAGGAGTGAAGAAAAGCACGCGCACGCGCTTGTATGCATGCATGCATGCATGTGCGCACATGTGTGCGTGCTTGGGCACGCCAGTACTGAGGCTTGAATTCAGGAACTGCGCCTTGTCCCAGTGTTCTTTAAGGCTGGTATTCTACCACCTCCACTTCTGGCTTTTTTTATGTTTAATTAGAGCAAAGTCTCACAGACTTCCTTGTCCTGCCCTAGCTGGCTTCGAGCTGCGGTCTTCATATATCAGCCTCTGAGGAGCTAGGATCACAGGCGTGAGCCACCATTACCTGGTCGCATTGCTTTATGATGATTAAACATTGCCTCATCTTGTTGCTTGAAGGATTTATTCTGCATCTTGAACCTGGCCTAGCGTCTTACTTCCTTTGGAAGTGATTTCCTTTCACTGCTTTTCCTTTGGCTCACAGCTGCCATAAAGAACTGGGGTGATTTGCATATGTAGCAAGGTATACCTGAAGGCCTGGAAGTGGACTTAGGATCAGGAGACAGGTAGAAGACTCCTCTACTCCACCCAGCAATCCAAGTCCCCTTCTGGATCTAGCAGGAGGATGTCCCAGGGGAACACTTGCGTTTTCCTCACTTCTTCAAAGGTCTCCAGGCACTTGGGAGATAACAGGGGGACTGGGACAAGGTCCTTCTACTGTACTGGTGGCTAACATTTTCAAAGCAAGCACTCTTTGTATACAAAACACTTGCATGAACCAATGACCCTATGATTTACTTCTATTATTAGGTATATCATATAAATAAGAAGGCCGTGGTGGAAAATTAACTCACCCCAAAATATAGAGCAGAGTGCTAGCCTTGAGCTGAAGAGCTGAGGGACAGTGCCCAGGCCCAGAGTTCAGGACCACGACCGGACAAAAAAAAAAAAAAAGAAAAGAAACCAAAATATAGAGCTTGAGAATGGCAGAGATAAGACACAAGTGATCCTCAAAGAGATGACACTAGTAGCTTTTAGGGAGAGGGACTCAGGGAAGTGAGGGTCGTTGTTTTTCCTAACAGGTTGTGTAAAATTATTCAACCAGGTCCAAGAGGAACTTGCTAAACTAGACAGTACAAAGGAAAAGGAAGAGGAAATGAGGAAGTGGGGCTGTGTGCAGGGACACCGGGTTTGAGAAGCTGGAACCAGAAAGGGTGAGAAGCATTGGGCTATAGTGATGGGAGGGGATTTAGTATCCAGAGTGGTCTCGTTTAGGATGTGCCATTTGTGGTCATGGTGGCCTGAATAATCAGAGAGCTTGAGAACTGGGAAGAGAAAGATCTAGAGCGAGCCTAATAGCAGAGCTGGAGTGCTTCATTACATCCAGAGGGAAAAGAACTTAAGGCTCTATCAGTCTGCTCACTGAATTTTGGTTGGAAAGCCAGTTGATTTCTCTCAGCCACTTCCTCTCTGCACAGAGAGGTGTGGTAACCTGCCCAGGGCATCAGCTTGAAGTGATACAACTTAGCTCCTGAGCTAAAAACTCTGTGCTCTTCCTCGTGGATCCTAGTTGCCCCTGCTCACGCCCAAATCAGAGTAATTACAGATTCTAAGCAAGAGGGTTGAGAATAGACGATCCTCATTGCGATTAAGAAGTCTAATGTGTAGCCAGATGTGAATGGCTTAAGCCTGTAATCCTAGTTACTCAGGAAGCTGAGATCTGAGAATATGAAGGATCCAACCCAGACAGGAAAGCCCATGAGACTCTTACAATTAACCATTAAAAAGCCAGAAATGGAGCTGTGGCTCAAGTAGTAGAGTAGACTTGAGCAAGAGAAGCTAAGGGACTGTACCCTTAGTCCTGAGTGCCCTTAGTACTCTGAGTCCTAAGCCCCAGTATCAGCACACACACACACACACACACACAAAACTAAAGTGTTGCTAAATAGAAAATTCCAGGGGACATGAGTGTAAAACATCTAATCTCACTCTGTGGTGAATTTGCATCCACTCAGCAAATCTAATTCCATTGCTGACCAGTGGGAAAGAGAAATGACTTCCACAGCTCAATGTGGTTGCACTCACAGTCAGCTCTGGAAGCTTCTGCTGCTTCAGCTGGCTGCTGCTTCAGCTGGTGGGGGCAATGCTCAGCTCCCCAGGGAACCTCCCAGTCATCGCCCACCCTGGCTGCACATCCAGAGTGGCACTAAATCAGGGTTTTCCTGGCTACGTGGCCATCTTAGCCAGACATAGGCAACAACTTCATCTGGTGCTCAGTAGAAGAACTCAGGAAGACAAGAACCTTGGGTGGGCCAGCTTCTTGAGAGAGAGTGTGGATCTAAATGGTACTTTCCTCACTGCTGAGATTCCTGCCTTCTCTCTGATCTTCTCCCTCCATTCTTCTTGCCCGGCCTCTTGTTTAAAAAATATGTTTTTATTGTAAAAATCCTGTACAGAGGGGTTACAGTTATGAGTAAGGTAATGAGTACATTTCCTATCGAGCATTGTTACCTCCTCCTTTGTTTTTCCCCTACCATCCCTTCCCTCCCCAATTTTACAAAGTGTAAAGTTCATTTTCAACATAGTGTCTTGTACATCTCATTGTTACAATGGGTCAACCTATATCCTTATTTCAACATTTTGTATTTCCCTTCTCCTCCCCAAATTAGAAACATGTATATACAAGATGCAGGGCACTGGAATCAAATACATTGAAAACAGGGGTTATACCGTGGGGGAAGAACATAGAAAAGAAACAAAAATCCAAAGAAACATAGATCCCATGGGTTCCCTTATTTGCAATAACTAGTATAAGTCTAGGACAAGCAGAAAAGGTCAAAAGCTATGAACATATGACCATATAAGATGATGTTAAGCGAAATGAATCCCATGATAGGGACACAAGTGGTTTTTTCTTTCTTGCCCTGCCTCTTGACTTACTCAATATTGATGACCATCTAAAAGGTAGAGCTTCCAAACCCAGCAACCACTAGCAACAACCTTAGGCTTCAGTGGCTGGTCTGGGCTGCCGTGAGCCTTCTGGGAAGGAAGACTTCCTCAAAGGGATGGGAACTGCTGTGTCCTGGCAAAATGCTCTTCCTCAACGCCCACACCAGGTCTCCATTTGTTCCTGGAGAAGTGGGCATCCTCCTCCATCCTTGCAAACTCAGGGCTCCACATCTTTGGTAGACAGCATGCCACAGGTGCTCAGTAAGTGATTATTGAAAAACCAAACAGGGAGGTTTAGGAAAATGGAAATATAGAAGTGGGAGCAGGTGGCTGCTAAGGATGTCAACTGTTCACTTGTTCATTTCAATTCCTCTGGGTCTAGAGTGGTGCCGGCCTGAAGGAACTGAGGCACAAATGCCCTCAGCTTAGCTATGATGTGTGGGTGGGGAAATCGAGTCTGCCACACTCAGGAAGGAAGAGTTTTTGCTTTTCAGGCTTCTCTAAGTGGCTGAGCACAGACCAAGCTCAGAGCAGACTAAAGGCCAGGGCCTAGGGAGGGAAGGAAACCAGACTCAAAGAGGGAAGCACAGTCCTAGCTGGGGAAGGAAAGATGTTCACAGTTCAGTGGAGTTTCAGGAAGGGGGAGGCCTTCAAGATGACCACCCTGGGCAGAGTGGCAGATTCAGGGCTGGGCAGGAATGGGCCTAGCTGTGAGTCTGAATCTTTATTCATGTTTCTCCAGTGTTGTGATTCTCAACGTGGCTTTGTGTTAGAACCCACCTAGGGAGCTCTTAAAAACCAGGCCTTGTCTACACTCCCACTCCCGGAGACTCTGCTCTAGGCGGCCTAGCTAGGGTGGAGCCCTGGCTCCACCTTTTAAGGCAAAGCTTCGGTGGAGCTCCTCAGATACAGTCAGGGCCCAGAAAGGAGGCTTTCGTTGGTCTGGTGAGCACTGTGAGGAAGGTGGTAGTTACACAAAACCCCACAAGCAGGACTGCAGGGGGCAGGGGCAGGGCAGGGCAGGGGAGAATGCAATGTGGGTGCGCTTAGAACTGGGATGGGCAGGGCGGGGCATTGGGAAGGAGAAGAAGGGCAAGATGGCAGGGTGGAAAGGGAGTAAGGATTTCCGTGGGTGGTGGGCAGATGTGGACGGGGCAGCGCTGGGAAAGCTGCCGAACGAAGGGAAGACCTGGAGACCTGGAAGAAGTCTCCCCGCGCAGGGCCTTCAGGAAGGGGAGGGGGAGCGGGAAAGAAACTACAGGGGACCCCCCTGCCCCAAGGCCACAAGAAGTGCACAAGCACACGCGTGAGCGTGCATGCAAACATCCACACAACACCGGAGCACACGCGGAAGCGTGCACACGGACACGCACACAGCTTCCGAGCGCGCGGGAGAGGCGCAGGCCAACGTCCCAGACCCGAAGACGCGGCAGTGGGGGGTGGGGGTGAGGACCACAAGGCTTGGCCGGCGGGCCCCGCCTCGCCCCTCCCGCCGCGCCCGCCGCGCCCCTCCCTCCGCTTGCGCAACAGGCGGCGGCTCCGCGGGCGGCGGGCGCGCGGCTGCGGGGGGCGGAGCGGGGAAGGGGTGTGTCCCCGCTCCGTGGGGGCCCGGGGCGAGCCGGGGCGGGGCGAGGCTCCGGGGCGGGGCCGCGGCGCCTATAAAGTGGCCCTCCGCCCCACGTAAACAAACCTCGCCAGCCTGCCGCGCATCCTCGGCCGCGCAGCCCCCGCCGAACACCCTTGCCAGTCCGTGGCTCCTTCACCTTCTCCTCTGCCTTAGGTAAGCCCGTCCGACGCCGTGCTCCTCCCGGGGCACGAGAAGGGGCGGCACGGGGGGGCCTGGGCAGCCGTGGCACCGGAATCTGCCAGGCGTGCGGACCCCGGCGCCAGCGCGGGATCGGGGCCGAGGGAGGCCGGCGTCGCAGCTCTCGTGGGGCGGGTGTCGCTTAGAGAAAAGGAAGAAAGAAGACATGTCTCCATTCACTTTGTCTCCCCAGCTCGGGAAGTGGGGTTCTGAGGGCTGGGGAGGAGTTGGCGAGCCAGCCCGAGTCACACACCTGGCTCCCTCCCAGAGGCACACCTGGTACCGCCGGCCCGTGGGTGCGGCAGGAATTCGGGGTGCGTGTTCGCACGTGTGTGTGAGGGGGGGTGCGGGTGTCCGGGGTGTCTGGGAGGGAGCGATCGCGCCGCGGCGGGCGTGCGGGTGGCGTGCTGGGGGTGAGCGCGTGCGCGGCGCGCGCGGCGCGGGGCCCGGGGACGTGGGTGTGTCCGCTTTCCAGCCTGGCCCTGGGCACGGGTGGCACCTCCCGAGTGTGAGAGGGCGTGTGTGTGTGTGTGCGCGCGCGCGCGCGCCGTGAGAGCCCGGTGTGTGTCTCGCGCGTGTGGCGCGCCCGGTCGCCCAGTGTCAGCGTGCCCCGGAGGGTGCGGCCCCGGGGTTGGCGCTCGCCCGGAGGGGCGGCCGGGGCGCGCTGGGGGCGCGCGGCGTCGGGCGGCCTCGGCGCCGGCTGGGGCTGGGAGTGGCGTCCTTTGCGCCTCCGCCTGCCCCCCTCCCTCCCCTCGAAGTCTCCATCCCCCCCCCCCCCCCCCCCCCCGCCCCTCCGGCAGCCCCGCCAGGAGAACAGCTGGAGTGGCTCGGACGTTCGCGGGAGCTCCGCCGCCGCGCGCTCGGATTCCGCCCCGAGGAGGCGATTTGGTGCTGGGCGTGTGGAATGCTGGCGGGCGGGCTCCCGGGGAAACACCGTCACCGCCTCCATCAAATTAGTAGACGAGCTGGGATTTGCGGCTCTTTTTTCTTTCTCTCTTCTCACCACCTCCCCTACTCTCCCGTCTGTCACCTCCGCTGCCAGTCTTCCCGCAGGTCCCCAGCGCCACCCCTGCCTGTCTGGGACGTGAGAGGCGCCTGTCTGCGCAGACCGCGTGCGTGTGTATGTGTGTGTGTATGCGTGCGTGTGTGGGGGGGGGTCCAAGTTACTGGCTCCCAAGAACAGCTCTTCTGCACGAGTCTCCTGGGTACTTGAGCTCCTTGGGTCCCTTGAAGCTTCTAGAAGAAAAAAAAAAGCCAAAGGTTCAGAGGTCAGCCAGGGGCGGACCCCGAGGGCCGTAGACATCCTTGCAATCCCACTCTGCTGTGTCCTCTCCCTTCACCGCACCCAATGAGCCGATCTGAATCCAAGCTGGGTTCTTGGGTTTCAAGGCAAACCTGTGTGCTTCCTGTAGAGAAGTGCTGAGGTCTTGATTGAGCGGTCACCTCGCTGAGAAAAGCAAGGTGCACCGAAGCGGGGCTGTCTTGGTGCTTGCCTTCAAAGAGGTCCCCGGCTGCTGGAAGCAATGTCCCAGAAAGCCCAGGCCACGCAGGCTCTGCCGGCCCCAGGTCCGAGGTCCGGCTGGGAGAGAGGCTGTTCAGCAGAGGCTGGCGAATCTCCAAAGAGAGAGTGGTCTGGGGAAGGCAGTAGCATGGGGGTTGTGAGACCTGTGCCTTCTTCAGTGGACCTGGGCTCGGACCCGAGCTGTGCCAGGGTGAAGAGGAGGACTTTGCTGCTCTGCCTGGAGCTTTGGCATCGGGTCCAGGACCCAGCCCATAGGAGGGGTTCCCACATAGACATGGAACAGCCTGAACAGACCTGGGCCTTCTGCCCTTCCCTCTTCCCATCCAGTGTGTAGATCCAAGTACACAGCTGACCCTCTCACTACAGCCATGGGTTTGTCTCCTGGGCCCTGTCTTAAGATCTCCTCTCCTGGTGAGTTCTCTCCCAGTGGCAAGCAAACCTGGGAGCCTTGCCACAGTTGGGTCATTTGGAATGGAATGAAAACTCACCCAGGCCCCTGTCCAATCCCTGAGAACTGAGACCAGAGCAGGGAGGCCTGTGCCAAGGGGAGGGGGAACAAGGACTCAGGAGTATCCTGCTTGGGATTGAGCTTATATTTGTCTGCTCTACTTTCAGTCATTTGTTTGTACCTTGACTGAGTTTCTGATAGAAACTTGGAGGCAGAATGCCCGTGGGTTTTCAAAGTACAAATGAGATTCTTAAAAGATTAGCAAAATCAATTGGCTGGGTACAGGTGGCTTAAGATGATAATTCTAGCTAGGTAGGAAGCTTGAGAGTAGAAGACAGTCCAGATAGAAAAGTCTATGAGACTCTGTCTCCAAAGTAACTGGCAAAATGCAAGTGTGGCTCAAGTAGTAGAGTGGCAGCAGTGCCAGCAAACCCAGTGAACGTGAGCCCTGAGTTCAAATCCTGGTACCACCTAAACAAAAAAGTAGCAAAGCCAGTTTAGTGAGAGACAAAGAAAGTGTGAGAGGCTTTCCTTGATTGGCTGCCCTCCATAGCATAACACTGCATCTGAACAGAACTGGGGCCCTGGGGCACTGACACCTGTTGGCCTGAGCTTGTTAGCATGGCCTAGAAAGAAGGCATTGTGTTCTTCTGATAAGGCTGCAGTTCTTCCTTGGGCCTGGGCTCATCCATCCAAGGTGTGACTCAAAGGTCCCTTGGCCTAGGCTGACAGCCAACAGGTAGCCTTGGCCTTGGAAAGGCTCCTGCAGGGAGCAGGGCCAGGCCCGGTGGGGCGTGGCTTCTTGCATTGGGTGCAGGCTGCTTTTGTGACAGGCCTTCCCACCTCTAAGTGGCTCCTCATCTTCAATGCGGAAATGGCACTATGATAGTTGGCAGTCTCTGTGGCCAAACTTGGCCTCTCCTGTGTTCCGACTGAGCTTGTTGGAGGTGGCTGTACAGAGGGGTGGGGCCAGGTGGGGACACAAAGGCCCAACACTAACAACACATGGCCATCATGAAGGGGACCCCTGGGAAAAGTGGTGGCACCATGGAATAGGAACAGAATGGGGTTTGCAGACAGCTTCTTTGGATCCAGAGGTCCCTGACTTTTCTCTAACATTTTGATGACCTACTCCTTGCCCACCCCCTGGCCTGGTTTTGAACTGCAGATGTCTTTAGGGGAGCCCATGCCCCCCCTCCCCTCCCAGCTGGGATGTGGGAGGTAAGTCTTGGGGGCCTTGAGCACCACGCTCTTGAGCTTCTCTTTCACAGAACCCTCACACAAGTGTTCATGTTAGCCTGCAGAGAGCTCTGCTTATGGGCCTCTGCCTTATTCCCCTATTTCCTTCCCCAGCTCCGCCCCCTTGGTTTGGAGGAGGTTCTGGGAAGCCTTCTCCAATAGGTACGTGAATAGGATTCTTAGGACATAGGTACTTCTCAGCACCTCTCAGTTAGCTAGGAACCCTCAACTCTCCCTCCCATGGCCTCCCTGGCCTCCAGTCCTCTTCCCTGAGGGGGTCCCGTGTGTCCCTCTGGGATCTGGCTGGTCTGTGCTTGTCTCTGTTTCTCTGTTGCCTTCTTCTACCTGAGAGCCTGAGGCCGCGGCCCCATCTGGAAACCTCTGATGACCAGGGATTCTTGCGCGGGGGATCTGGGCATGGCGGGAGCCATCTGGAGACGTTTAGTGCAAGGATATTGTTAGTGTGCCAGCAGCCCCTCTTGAACATTGCACTTCCCCATTCTGAGCTAGGCTGGCAGTGTGTGATTTCAGTCACTCGTCACAGACCTTGCAGGGATCTCCCGCCCGTCCCTCAGATTCACAGGATAATCTTCCAGGGTGACCAGTGCCCTCCGCACTTCCAGTCACCCGATTTGTCCCCATCTAACGGTCTTCTCTCCGCCATAACCTCTGGCCAGTGCACCATCAAACACCTCTAGGAAGACACAAGAGTGGTGTGGAGAGGTCTGGCCTGTGATTCCTGACGCTCTCACTTCCTGCAATTGTGTGGCGGCCAGCGGCTCTGCTCCCCTGACCTTGCAGTTGGTTCTGGACTCAAGCTGACACATAGCAATTCCTTTCCAGCTCCAGCTGGTCCCCGGAGAACGAGGGCAGCTTTGGTGAGCCGAGGGTGGGGCTAGGTTGGCCTTCTCTTAGTAACCCCTTTGCTTCCTTTCCGTGTGGAATGAAATAGTAGACCCACGTGTCCGGGCCTGAGGTCCTAATTCTGTATGGAAGTCTCTGGTGCATGTCATGTATGCCCTTAAAAACATGATCTTGATCACTCTGAGGCTTAACTGCTCGTCTCCACCTCCCCTCCCCTCATCCGGAGAACTTTCTGGAGGGGCTAGTGAGTCCACCCCTTCTGTGTGCTAGGTTGATTATGTAAGGAAAAGCATTGTCAGCTCAGGCACATGCTTCCCAGAGACCTGACTTTCAAAAGGCCCAGAAAACACCTAAGGAGCCTGTGGACCGCCTCTTGGCCTCACTTGAGAGCATTTTTGGCAAAATACGGAGGAAAGATAATATGGGCAGTAGAGCGGGACATCCACCCTATCCCCAAGGCAAATTTTCCCAGAGTTACTGCAGAAATTGGGCCTTTTTGCCCCCGTGTGTGTGTGTGTGTGTGTGTGTGTGTGTGTGTGTGTGTGTGTGGTGGTAATTGCCAAATTGAAGAGCCGCTCTACCACACAGCATCGTGCCCCCGTGTGTGTGTGTGTGTGTGTGTGTGTGTGTGTGTGTGTGGTGGTAATTGCCAAATTGAAGAGCCGCTATACCACACAGCATCGATTCCCTCTGCTGTCTAAAAAATCTGTCTGTAATGAGCCCAGAGGGATGGGCAGCACGCTGGCTTTTCCAGGGCCTCTGGACCAGGCTTGTGACAATTGCAGCTAGGCTTGTCCATGGTTCCCTTCGTTCCCCCTTTCTCAGCTTTGCTGGGGGACTCCCGGAAGGGAGGCTGCTGTCCGCCATCCCCCAGATCCCCCACTGCGCCCCCACACCCAGCTG